TACACAGTGGTGAACAAATTATTTTGGGCCACATTCAGAATTCTGATGGCGATTCAGACGATGATTCTGTTTTTCCTCATCTTGCAAACGGTTATGCAAATTCCGTAAAAATTAGAGTATCTTCGATCGATCTCAGCGATGACGAAGATACAAAAAACAACGAAGAAGATGATGATGAGAGGATGTTCGAGGTTACTGATTCGGCGATACGGAGAGCGTTCAAAGAAGATGAGAGTCATCAGAATGCTCCGTTGACGGCCGAGACAAAGAAAAGGAATGAAAAATTAGGTGGGTGTGCATTTCATTGTGAAAATATTATAAATATGGGTAGATTTGGTAATGAGTGGGGTGTCCAAAAAAATATTATTAAAATTTAAGATTTAAGATTGGAGTTCAAAAAAATGAAAAGTCTAAAAAATTTTGCTAGGTGTTAATAGCAGCACTCATCTAGCAAACCAATCAAATTTGCCTCTTATGCTTTTATACAATTATTAATAAAATTCGTACAATAATAAGCCGACATGGTAGTGAAGGAAGTTGTCCTCTAATCAATCAGAATTAAGAAAAAATCAAAGTAGTGAATCAAGATCAATATAAATATCTATTTTAAATTTGGAAAATGAGTGGGAGCATTAATTAGTGCTATCACTAATGATGTAACAGTAGGCTTCACCATAAATGATTTGATATTTTAGCCTTGGTGTTGCATTTTTTTTCTTTTTTTATTGAGTGTCATGACATTAGCAGTCTTTTTAGAGTTCCAAAATTAGTGGTCTCTATTATTGTTATTTAAATTTTTATATATCGAGAACATCGTATATATAAAGAATGATAAAAACTATTTGATAACCTCTTAAAATGTGATTTTTTTTAATAATTTTGAGTTCATTTTAATTTTATAAGGGTAAATTACAAACACCCCTCTCGAGATTTGATGAAAATACAGATTCTCTCCTGAGGTTTAAAAAATTACAAATTGCCCCCTGAAGGTCAAATTTGTATAATATATTAGGAGAGAATCTGTTTGAAAATAAAAACTTCATGGGACAATTTGTTATGAAAATATAAATCTCATAGGGCGGGATGTAATTTCTCAAACCTCATGAGGGAATCTATATTTTCACCAAATCTCGAGGGGGTGTTTGTAATTTGCCCATTTTATAAAGGTATTTTTTTTTTCAAATGTAATTTTTTTTCTTTTTTTTTTTAAATACATGAAACAACTCAAAACACCATTTATGATTTTTTTTTTTGGCACTTTATTTTTTCAGAATTTTTGGGATAAAAATGCAAATCTCAAATTACTGAGGCCATCGGAAATTGCAAATTTGATCAAGTGAAGTAATTAAGTGCCCTAACCCTCACCATTTCATCTTAACCCCAAAGGTTGCTTTGCTTTTTGTTCCCTTCCAAAGTAAGTTTATTCTTCTTGTTCCAATCTTGAAGATTTTTAAATTTGTTAAATTCAACTCTGCATACTTATTTAGAATGTTCCATAGCTTTTAACCAAAATTTCACTCAAAATTGATGGAAAAAAAAGTAAGAATTGGAGATGCTTCTAGGCTGTGTTTGGATCCAAGCACATTAATATCTATACTCTGTTAACAATAATTAGGCTAGTTGACATAATGACTTTGCCTGTGAATGCATTCAATGCTGCGTTTGGATAAAGGGTTTGAGCAGGGATTGGAAAGGGATTTCGGGAGAGATTCAATTTCACTCACTTTTTATTTTTCTTTTTCAAATCCCTGTCCAAATCCATGACCCTGAAGGTCTCACTGGCTGGCTCATGTTGTTTTAACAATTGTGTAGGACTGCCTTGCTTACTAAAATTTTCATATTAATTTGATTTTGGGTTTAACATGTTTTTGGGGTTTGAGATTTTGAAGATAATGGCATGGCATGGAATTACTATTGCTGAAAATAGCTTCTATGTTAGCCTTTAATAGAAGACCGTTCTTTTCAGAAAGGGTATGATTGATTAGGCTCCATTATGTCTTAATTGCCAATGGAAACAGAACGCTACACATGCCTGCCTGTCAACTTGTTTTAATCATTTTCAACTGTTCTTCCAATGACTGTTTGGTTGTGCTTTCGTTTTCATTTTTCATGTTTCAGTAATTAAAAACAATGAAAAGTTCGAAAACATCCATGTTTTCATTTTTGTGCTGAAATAGGTTTAAAAAATTCAAAACAATTTTATTGTGTTTCCTAAAAAACTCAAATTAGTTTTCAGAAACATTTCACTAAATAAGTTTATGTGTTTTCCACTGAATGAAAACAGAAATGATGAAAACACAAATTAATATCTTGAATGTGCCCTCCCTCAGATATTTTGATACTTTTTTCATTTGTTAAACTTTCTCTAATGAAAAAGTGGTAACAAGTTTTCCATAGTTGAAGTTTTTTTCGTCATTCTTGAATTATCAGGATGCCTCAGTGGTTTGAAAACAGATGGTGCACCAGGGTATTTAGATGATTTGTGACAGATTCTGACACTGTTTAACTTAACCTTTTCTTCATTACTCTCTTTCTTCTGTTATTGCTGTTCTTTATAGGACATTCTACACGCATATTGCAAAGTTACTCATGTTGTTTCTCACTTTCTCTAATTTTGTCACTGAAGGCTGTAAGTAAAATTCAGCAAGTATATGATTGATCACTGAGTAGACTCCATTATGTAATAATTGTCAATGGTTGCAACATTATGCATGCCTGTCGGCTTACTTTAATCAATTGGACTTAGTGTTCTATTAGGGTTACACACGAGATTAGGTAGCTTTCCGTCATCCTTGAGTGCTCTTTCAAGCTCTTATGCATGTTTCGAGGTTTTTTTTATTGAACATTATTGCATAATCAATCTAATTTAGTGTTGTCAAACATATCATCAACAGTTGCATGATCTAGATTGGGTTTACTCACATAAAAACATTCACTCACACTTTGTGCATCACCACCACGCTTTGGTCATTTGGGAACAAAACCGTTGAAGACAGAGGCCAAAGTGTGAAGCTTCGTGGTTGTTGTTGAATCAAGGAAAGGTAATTGAGTTAGAGCAACAGGGTATGGAGAATGATGTGGTGGAGATTCAGTGTTGCAAATCCTACTGTCTAAAGTCCTATACTACATTGATTCAATAGTGAATTTTCGGTTAGGGTGTTGGGATCATAGTTTTCCCGTTAAATTGCCAAGTTCTGTTTATTGTCTTAGATTTCTATGATTTTAGCTACTATCACCCCTGATTTGAATTTTTATCAATTAATTGGCTTGTAATTTTAAACATGGTTGCATTTTCAGTGTTTGACCTATTCACGCCCTAGGTGCAAACATACCGACTCCCAACATTTCAGGTTGCATTCAATATTTAAAAAGTAGAGCAGAACCCTTACCTCTGATTTGTCTATGTTAGGTGGCTGCATGCTTCTTACTTTGTTTTATATTTTGGCTTGCTCTCTCATGCACGTGGGACATTAAGTATTTGATTCTTTTTGGCATGCCCTGTTAACCCTTTATCAGAGCCATCAGAGATTGTTATGTGAAAATTGGAAGTTGGGTTACAGTCAGATTAGTTTGGGAAAGTGAGAGTATGTGAACCTAAGTCCACTAGACTCTTTAAGTTAGCAAATTATCTACCACCACCTCCCTTTCACTTGTATTGGTCGTTTGTGCTATCTTTATCTCCAAGCACTAACCTGCATGGAATGTTCTATTCCTGAAGTCTTCACCAAATCCAACTAGTTTGAAATTATGTACACTGTATACCTAGATTGCACTTAACTAGTTCGAATATAATAAGTTGTCACTTTCTGCATTATAAATATGATTTTTGGTGAAAAAAGTTTTGCTCCCTAGTCCCCCTAGAGCATGACTTATTTGAAAGGTGAAGGTATATAGGCCAAAAAGAGAGCAACAACATCTCTTTGAAATCCAATTTTCTATGCTTAAAGTGTTGCATAATAAACCACACAGACAATAGCAAGAAGAATCAATCACAAACAAGAAAAACACGACAAGCTGATTTACTTAGTTTAGCAAGCTTGCCTATGCTCACGGTTCACACTAGTTCCACTATCCTGAAAGAAGAGTACTATGTGGTTGTTTGTGAAGACAACAATATGTATGCTAGTCTTTACATCAATAAATTACCATAATACCTTTACTAATTCACCTCGGGGGACACAGTCCCAAACTCCACCTTCAAGCTAGGGCCATGGAACCGTGACCGCATGATGAGATGTGCAATACTAATTAGGCTCCACAAACCTGACATCAAGATGGGACGAAAACAAGATTATAATCTCATGGAGCGAATGTATATATAACTAAAAAAATGTATGACAAGGCCTACAATACCACAATTTTTATCAAAAAAATTCTTAAGGGCGGGTATTAAAATTTTCAAAAATAAGTAAATAAATAAAATCTTAGAGAGACAAGCCTATATAATTTGAAAATGTTCTTAACTAATACTACTATAATAAGGGGAGTTTTCGAAACCTTGGGGGTGGTCGCCCCCCATATGCCCCCCCCTCCCCCCCAGGGGATCGATGCTAGGTTTTTAAATATCCTCTATTACATATTGTATCACCCATTACGGATTGGATTTTTGGACTTCCGATACTATCATTGATCAATATATCAGCCGATATTATCTAACATTGACCGATATATGACCATATCACCGATATCAATCATATCCTGATACCTTTATTTAAAACCATCACTACTTAACAAGATACAAGTCAAATTGAGATTTTAATGTCCAATCCACTACCTTGTTCCTTTCAATAGGTATAACTCATCCTGCCACTTAAGAATTTATATAATCCATTTAGTGGGGGTGACTGTTTTCTTCACCCCTTGGGAAAATTATGGAATTGTACCAAATTTAATGGAAAGGGACAACTTATAGTGGCTCCACCACTCCCCAAAATACAATATGAAATTAGCAGCCACCTTCTCCATAAGTTTTCTAACTAGTATATAATATGTTTCTCACTTCCTAACTCACACTGTACTTGCGACAGCTTTAGATATTCTCTAGTTCACATTCAAGCTATGAGTCCAAGTGTCTGCAAACTTTCTTTTGTTCCCTTGTTTTGCCTCTTGTTTCTTGGTCATTTTGTATGTGGTCAACTTGACTATAAATTTTATGATGTCATGTGTCCAAACCTGACAAATATCGTCAGATCCAGTGTCTGGTCAGCCATTGCCAATGATACTAGGATGGCAGCCTCTCTCCTGCGACTGCACTTTCACGACTGTTTTGTTAATGTAATTACAAATATTCCCTATATATTCAATTCAAGAAAGGAAAAGATAAAATGATGTTATAGGAAACATTGAAGCAATTCTATGCTGATAACTCTTAAATTTACTAAATTGGTGTTTTTCATTTTTTTTTTTGGGGTGCATAGGGATGTGATGGATCCGTGTTGCTTGATGGTACTGATGGGGAGAAATTCGCATTTCCTAATCAAAATTCACTTAGAGGTTTTGAAGTCATTGATGCGATAAAAACTAACGTGGAGATAGCTTGCCCATCAATGGTTTCTTGTGCTGATATACTGACTCTTGCAGCGAGAGAGGCTGTCTTTCTCGTAAGAAGTTTGTCAATTATGTTAATTGTGCTAAGAAAAACCACTCAATCTTTATATCAGCATTTAGATATTACCCTTTGTTTTACATTAATTTTTTTTATTTTTATTTTTAATCTTTTTTTATATGTTTCCTTCCAGACAGGAGGGCCTTACTGGGCTATAGCCTTAGGTCGTCGAGATGGCTTAACAGCAAATCAGACTGCAGCTAACACAGATCTCCCGTCGCCTTTTGACCCCTTGGAAAATATTACTGCAAAATTTACTTCAAAGGGTCTAGACAGAAATGATGTGGTTGTGCTATCAGGTATTCATCCTAAAATCATATTCAGTTTTTTTGGGTAATACCAAATTAGATATGAAAACAGAAAATTCAATTAGGACCAGATTTGGTATTTACCAATAGACATGTTCATTGACACCAATATGCATAGCGGATACAGTTTGTTGAGACCGGTAACTGCCCCATTTGCACGACAACATGCTTAAACAAACTGAATATCTACTTGTGTTTGGAGCAACTTCACAGAGGAATTTTTTTCGAATGGCCTCTAAAGTGATTACCAACTTATTTGTGAATATATTTTTCTTGTGTTATTCCTTTCTATAAATTATGTTCTCTGTCTTTTAACATGAGATTAAGTTGCATATTGAATTTCTTCTGATGGACAGGTAGCTAAAAAGGATAATCCGGATAGTGCCCATAAAATCTATATGGCATCTATATCCACATAACTACTATTATATAAAGCACACATATTTTTGAAGCTTTGTCACGATTTTTTCAATATCTAAAATACCCATTTCAGACCTAACTACTTCAAACTTAGTAACTGCCATGATTGATCTAATCATCTAACTGCTTCACACCTCTGGTATATGTATATGCATGCACATATTTACTCATTCATTCCAAGTAAAATCTCCTTAAACCTGAATTTCTCCAAATATGACCAAGTACCAAGCTTAACTTTAGGATTTGAACATGTAATCTTATTACTTGATGCCCAAGCAGACTTCTTGACTAATTATATATATATATTTGTTTGTTCCGTACAGGTGCACATACTATTGGCTTTGCTCAATGCTTCACATTCAAGCCAAGGCTCTTCAATTTTGACGGGTCCGGTAATCCTGATCCAACCCTCGATGCATTGCTGCTAAGCAATTTGCAGAGCTTGTGCCCAAATCAAGATAATTCCGACACCAACTTGGCTCCTTTGGATCGTGTTTCATCTTCCAGGTTTGACAACAATTATTATAACAACCTCTTGAACAATTCCGGGCTCCTCGAATCGGACCAAGCCCTTATGGGGGACAACAGGACTGCCGCAATGGTCAACATCTACAGCAAATTCCCATTTCTGTTCTCCAAAAATTTTGGAGTATCAATGGTGAAGATGAGCTACATAGGTGTTCTTACAGGACAAAATGGGCAGATAAGAAAGAATTGCAGGGTGGTGAACTAGAAATCTATTTATGTAATGTGTAGTCAGTCTTCAAAAGTGTTGCTAGGGTTTAAGACGGAATGCAGATCTGTAACATAAACGAAGTTGCGTCATTTGATGCATAAATAAGTACTGTTGGATATGCAAAGTAGGAGCTTCTCAAGATTAGTCATGTGTTTGCCTTATCCACAAGCCAGTATGCATGCAAACATTAGTTGTTGAAAAAAATTAAATATAACGGTGATACCTGTTGTGTGAGTGAATTTCTGACCATACTGTCAACTCAGTATTCAACTGGAGAGCACTAGTAGAATAGATGGCGCATGAATGATCTGTAACAAAAAGAAGAGATTCCGATGGTGGTTCATCCACCCGGGGGCACTCCGACGATCAAGTTAGTTAAGTATCTCCCAAGGATAACCAAAGTGCTTAACTCACTATTCAGAATATAAATTGCGTGCATTCGACTCATTGGGGGTGCCTCTCTTTTATAGCCAACTCAATCATAGTCTCAATGGAAGCCTAGCTTCAATGGATTTCAGCTCAATGCTTATCTTGGACTCTTCAATAGATAAAGATAAACTCCTTAAGAGCTTTATCCTTATCTAAGTTGAGGTCCTTCCTCATTCTAGGACTCTTGTCTCCTATCTGCTTATCCCGAACTCCGATATCTTCAGAGATAACCTCGGCCTAGTCGAGATCATCTCGGCGTCACGACTAGGACGCATGGTACCCCGGCTGACACGTCAGCGTCACCTTGGCCACGTGTTGGTACTCAAAAAATATATCCCCACAACTGCCCCTTAGGTTCTATTACCTCGGCATCCTGAGGTGATGGAACCTATATCGTCATATCGTCATATCGTATAGCATGTCAGCTATCTTGCTGTATCATCCATTTACCGAGGTCATAATACGCCAGCTTCACACGACCAGGTCCTGTAGTCTGTCTCCTCAAGGCTTTTAGAACCAATAACCTAGTTTTATTCGAGTTTATTTAGCTGAGATCCTCCTACCAGCCGAGGTCATTGCTTCATTAAATCGAGAACTCCAAGAGTTTTATCACGCGTATGAGTTGTCACGCAAAATAAATCAACCGTTTTTGCTACGCGTCTTTCCCTCACTGGATCATACTCGATACGCGCCTGTAAGTCGTCTTGTGTCTGGGTGCGCCGTCTGACAAGCACGTCGCCCTAGACGCATTGATGGTATTTTGCCACCATTCTCCGCATTTTGATCAAAATCAATTCTCTCTCTCCGTCTCTTCACTTTTTGCATCATCGTTTCTGAAGTATCCAACTTTTTCTCTTTCTAATCTGTCTTTGTTCAAGCTTTTCTAGCTTTGCAACTTGCTTCGTTCACCTCCTTCGGCGTGATTTTCACCGCTCCGTCGCTTTTGTAACCATCGTCTAACTTCGGTGATCCTCATATCGGCCTCACTTTCTCTAGTAAGCCATTATTCCTCCTGGTTTTCAGTTCTTGATTTCACTGCGAACTTTGTTGTATTTTACAAACTTGCTTATATCTTAGATCATTTTTAATCTGTACCTTGATTTGCACCACGTGTTTGAGTATGTTTTCTTCGTGATTCTATTTTTGTCCAATCCTTTCTCGAATATTTACACACTACTCACAAATTTGTTCACTTTTGCCACTGCTCTTGGCCTCGCACCCTTGTGCACACTTTGTCACAGTGTTCTTGATAGTTTGTCACTGTTTTTTATTCTGAAACACGTTCTTGTTTTCTGTTTTCTGTGTCTTTTTCGGATTCGTGCCTTCAATCTTCATTTCCGTAGATCTAGGTTTAGGATTTGCTTGTAGAACCCACAATTTTTTAGGAAAAATTGAAACACATTCCCCTTAAGATCCCCACAAATTCTTACCCCAGCTCACATTTAGGTTTTAGCTGAGGTCCTTAAAAAACCGTCACAAAACACTTCTTTCCGAAATCCTACAGCTTCCCCTCAGGCCGACATCATGGGTATGTGGAAGCATAGGGTAGACACCCCGACCAAGTTAGAATACTTTAGGCGGGAGTTTTCCATCTCTGCCGACGTTCACCTCAGGTTGGCAGGAGAGGAGGATTCCATTATGCCCGATGAGAACCTCATGCCTTTCCCAGTAGTGGCCTTTATCGAGTGTGGATTTAGGTTTCCATTTGACACATTTTTCCGAGAAATCCTTCATTACTATAAATTGAACCCAATGCAGCTTGCCATCAACTCTTACCGAGTTATCAACGGTATAATAGCCTTAGCCAAACAAGAGAACGCTAGGGTTACTCTTGTCGACATCCAATACTGTTACACTATGTGTCGCCTGAAATCAGAAAAATGCCACATCTATTACCTCAAGTCGAGGTCCACTGAGTACAAGCTCATTTCCAACCTCCTAGACTCAAACAAGGGTGCTAGAGACGATTACTTCATCGTCTCGGGCAACTGGGAGTTTCAACCAAACGATGGCCTCCACCTTTATCCCCTAAGCCGAACAGTTTTCGGAAAAGGAGATGATAAGAGCCAAGTGTCACCTTTCCTTGCTCTCTTTTTTAGAGTTTTCAATACTCTGTTCTAACATCTGTGCTCTTCTTTTTGCAGTTCTTCCCCAGCCATCAAAGGGCTTTCGCAAATCTTTCCCCAGTAAGGACTTGAAGAAGCTATTGAATTTGCCCATCCACAAGCGGAGAGCCCCTCTGCTATTCAATTTCATTCCTACTTACAAGTCGGTTCTTCCCGACGTTCCAAAGAAGAAAAAGAGTCAGTCTCCTCCGTCTGCCACTACTCCTCTAGCAACCTCGTCATCTCGGCCAGATCAAGGGTCAACCTCTGATCCAGCAGAGCAGCCATCTACCTTAGCTCCACAACTGATCCCACTATCTCAACGCCGTCGACGACGCTGAACTGTTTTTGCTGCTGAGATGGGCCACAAGAAAGCAGTCGCTGAAGACCTCTTGGCCGACATCCCATCCTCCGTCGACGCTCAACCAGCACCAACTCAGCCTCCAAAGCCGAAACAAAAAAGGCTGAAGAAGGCTTAGCCAAAGGCAACGGTGACTCAGATTGATACTAAGGACACCTTGCCAATTTCAAAATTGACTTCGAGTGAGAAAACCCCCTCCGTCCCCGAGAAGAGGCCCACCGAGGCCGAACCATCCCAATCAACTCGGTTAAAGAGACCGAGGTCCGAATCTGCCACGACCTCGGGGCCCATAAAAAGAGATGCCCTCTGGGCCGCCCCAGATCACCATCAAGGACAAGCCAGTCAGAGCTGGCGACAGTGTGACTGATCTTGAAGTCGGTGTCACCCTCTCAACGACTCTGCTCATTCCAAACGATCTCAACCGCAACGCCGAGATAAGCGAGTACGAAAATTTCGCTCTAATGCTCCAGCACTCTATTCAAGTAAGTCTTCCACACTTGGTATTTTTCTTTTTCCATTCTTTCATACTCAGAGGATTTTACTAACTTTTGTTCTGCTGACTTTCTTTCAGGCGATCCAACACGCCCACTCCTTCTCGATGCAAGCATTTGAGATGAGGAAGGAGTTGGCCGACAAAATCAGGGAGGTCGCTGCTTTACAAAAGTCCCTCAACAAGGCCAAGGACATGTTAAAGACCTTGGCAGATCAAGCCAAGGCAGCTGTAAAGGCTCAGGACGCGGCTGAAGAGAGAGCTGACGCCGCAGAGGCCATTAAGAAGGTCCTCGAAGCCGAGAAGAACGAGGCCTTAATAAAGACTACTAAGGTTCAATCCGAGCTTCGAGCTGCCCTGGCCATAAAAGATGTCGAGCTCAAGGCCGCCGATGAGAAGGCATACAATGAGGGGGTGACCGATGTCACGGCGGACTACAAAAAACAAGTGAAACAGAAGTCGGTGTCACCCTCTCAACAACTCTGCTCCTTCCAAACGATCTCAACCGCAACGCCGAGATAAGTGAGTACGAAAATTTCGCTCTAATGCTCCAGCACTCTATTCAAGTAAGTCTTCCACATTTGGTATTTTTCTTTTTCCATTCTTTCATACTTAGAGGATTTTACTAACTTTTGTTCTGCTGACTTTCTTTCAGGCGATCCAGCACGCCCACTCCTTCTCGATGCAAGCATTTGAGATGAGGAAGGAGTTGGCCGACAAAATCAGGGAGGTCGCTGCTTTACGAAAGTCCCTCAACAAGGCCAAGGACATGTTAAAGACCTTGGCAGATCAAGCCAAGGCAGCTGTAAAGGCTCAGGACGCGGCTGAAGAGAAAGCTGACGCCGTAGAGGCCATTAAGAAGGTCCTTGAAGCCGAGAAGAACGAGGCCTTAATAAAAACTACTGAAGCTCAAGCCGAGCTCTGGGCTGCCCTGGCCACAAAAGATGCCGAGCTCAAGGCCGCCGATGAAAAGGCATACAATGAGGGGGTGGCCGATGTCACGGTGGACCACAAAAAACAAGTGAAGCAGGCATGCAACAACGGTTTCACCCTTGATTGGATGGCTACCCTCAAGAAGTTGGACGTCCTCGAGGACTCCCCCCTCAAGAATGCCGACGTCCTCGCTTTGCCATTCCCCCCTACTCCAAGCCAATTCGAAGACGATTCTGAGTCTGAGGAGGAAGCTTTGGTGAGGAAATCAAAGGAAGCTGCTGGGGCCAAGTCCCCAACTCCAAATGAGCAAGTCTTGGACTTGACTCAGGATGAGGAGGGTGAGGAGGTCTCCAAAGATGCCACTCCTGAGAAGGCAACATCAGTCCCGCCTATTGCCGATAAGAGCCTCATCAAACCCTTCGAGAAATAGATGCCGAGCTCGCGGCTGAGAAGACTGCCGAGATGTCTTTTCAGCAGTCTTTCGAACTTCAGACCCAACCAGCCAGCGGCGCCGAAGAGTCTTAGTTTTGATATTTGTCTCCTTCTTTCTGTACTTTGTACTTTGGTTTTCTTCTTTTTGGAATATTTGTAAGTTTTAAGTTGGCCAACATTCCATCTTTTGAATGTTAATACAACTTCCTCTCCTGAATACTTGTATCTCTGTCTTCCTTTTACTGTCTTGTATGATTCTATACTTAGAATAATTTGGATGTCTTCAACATACACTTTATCTGTGCGACCTTCTCGGGGTGATATACCTCGGTTATACCTACCAATGGTTTATCTTAGCCTGGACTTAACACCAACATCCTTCAACATGA